GAGTTAAGCGTTACAGAGACATATAACGTATGAGGTGGCATAAAGCATACTGGCAATTGACAAGTAAGGGCAGTGGGGCACAAGTACATTGATCACATAAAGCCATAACGAGCATAATTACATAAGCGGCAGTTCATGCTAGTGTGCCCCTGGACCGCCCAGGTCCTTCAGAACTCATCTCCCACCGCTAATCCCCCACCCAAGGTTTCGTGGTCGTGAAGGCCATGCCACAGTCCCAAGGTTCGTTTACGCCCGTGTTGACCTCAGGCCCCCCTCCCAAAACCAACGTATGTACCTCCCGTGTCCCGTATTAGCATGGGTCTCATGCCGTAGGGTTTATACGACATCCAGGTAAGATATGCCTGTGCTGCCGCAAGTGGGGGGGGGGGTGGAGACATTTTCAGGCCCGGGGGGATGTTGCAAATGTATTACTGAGAGGTCCGTCTCCAATCCCCTCCGTTTCAGTGTCCCCCCAGAAGAAGCATGTCTATGTCCAAATATTTATGTGGCATCGTGGGGAAGTCTCTCGGGCTCAGGAGCGCGAGCGACCGGGGTTAGGTATGTAAATGGGGTACTCACTCATCCTGATGCCCAGGGCCTTGGCGACGGCGCTGAGGCAGCCTGCCCAACGGGGATCCGCCGCCTCGCCTGCGTGGGGCTCGCTGCTGTCGGGGAGCCTGTTCTTGCGGGCCTAGGACCCAGTTGGTGATGGATATTGGTGGTAGATTGAGCTCCTCCAGGAACCGCGGGATGTCTTCGGGCCACCTGGCCGCTTTCCATGTACCGTTATGTCGTGCCAGGAGTGCAAACGGGAACCCCCACTTGTAGGTGATGTTGTGTTCGCAGAGTGCTGCCGTCACCGGTCTGAGTGCCCGTCTGGCTTCCAACGTGAGTGGAGACAGGTCGTTGTATAGGGAGACAGGGCTGCCTCGAAAGGGCCACGTGGGTTGCTCCCTAGCCTTCCGCATGATTTTGTCTTTGATGGGAAAGGCATGGAGGTAGCAGATCACATCTCTAGGGCCTTCTTCAAGTGACCGTGGTCTTAGCGCTCTGTGTGCTCGTTCAAAGTCGAAAGACTGTGGAGCGTCAGCCCCTAATACAGTGTGGAAGAGATCTGTGAGAACTTTCTCCACGTCCTCCCCTCCATCTGGTTCTGGGATCCCCCGGATCCGAATGTTGCACCTCCGCCCCCTATTATCCAGGTCTTCAAGGTGCCTGGGCATGTGGAGGATCAGTTCACCCTGTCTGGAAATGGCAGTGTCTGTGGCTGTTTGCCTCGCAGTGTGAGTTTCCACCACGTGTTCTAGGGCCTGTATGCGGCCCGCGTGTGCGCTCACCTCTGTCCTGATCCCGGCCATTTCCGCTCTCAGGGCATCTTGGATCGTGGTGGTGAGGGTGAGCAGGTCGGCTTTCATGGCCATGGCAGCCGTCATGGCCCTCAGCTCCTCGCTTATGCGGTCCAGGGTGGAGGATTCACCTCCCCCCATCGAGGTAGGGGACCGCAGCGACTGCGGTGTTAGGCCCGGGTTCTCGTTCCTGCCGGCGGCCCCGCGTGGGGATTGTAGGAAACCATCCATCGGTCCCTGTTGGGAGCTCGGATGTGGGTCCTTGGGGGTCTGTGGCTGCTCCGTGCGGCGGTTGCGACCCATGTGTGCTCTGTCGCGGCTGATAGATCGCTATTTCGGGGTAAGGTGTAGCGGAGCTCCGGGATTAAGCGGCCATCTTGGTCAGTGTCTAGGCCATGCCCCCCACGGTTCGTGCAATTTTCTACCAAACGGGAACTAGTTCATGCATTTACTATTGTACTACACACACATTTCGTACGTTTACAACCCACGAACAGAACTTTGGTTTGTTACAATGACTGTTATTAAGCTATTATGTTCACTTATTGTATATTGTCAAACGGGCACTGTTTGTTTCCCTGTCATACAACTATAATGCTGGGGCATAGCTCACGAACAATGTTTCACATAAACCACACTGACCCCTACAGGTCACTCTCAAATCTCACATTAACCTTGTATTTGGATTAACCCCTTAAGGACCAAACTCTGGAATAAAAGGGAATCATGACATGTCATGTATCCTTCAGGGGTTAAAGGGTATTTTACCATACAATCAGCATTTCTGACCCTTACTGGTCAACAGCAAAACTGTCTTCACATTTCATACAATTACCAGCCAATATAAATTACACATAGGATTGTTTTAAATATAACCATAACTTAAACTCCCACACGGGCTCAACTTCAGGTTTAATTCACAATAATTTACATTTCACATCAAGACTAACAGTGGTTCTATCAACACTGCCACCTACAGGTCTGTCAAGTACATTGACAATTTTCATGGGGTTTTACAAACACCAAAACACTGACCCCTATAGGTCAACAGACAACATTTCACATACCAATCAGTATCAACTACACTGCCTCCTATACGGCACTCGGCAGATCTCCAGTGCACTTGCATTTTGCAACACCATGTTCACTGACCATTCAATAAGGCATACAACAATTCACATTGCAAGCAGTATATCAACATCTGTTATAAATACACATATTATTACACAGTAGCACACGCATCTGTATATACGTAACTGGTAATATGGTTCACATACATACGGCACTTAATGGGTTAAGATTGATACATATTTAACCAGTATGGATATGATGTTTAATATTTACATATCACGGCACTTTACTTTCACATATACTGTATGTTTTAAGATAAGCTTGGTCTATGCCATATTTCCTTATGCCATACGATTTTATCCATTCAGGTTACAGTTACTACTAAAAAACCTATACGGATTGTCAGGTTCAATACCATACTACCAGGTACGTACACCTGCTCACGTAGTTATCCATCTCTTACCTTCCCTGGAATAGTTATAGTGTACTAGCAATTAGGGTTCTAGGGCCCAACAGGTATTACCCCCTTTTTTCTCTGCATTACGCTTTGGTTGGTATTCCTGCGAGGCCAACACCCCGCCTCACACTCGGAGGCATACACCCCTCGGGCCACTCGTGAGCTAGCCGCCTTGCATTGTATCATAGAGAGGGCCTCACCTGTCACTCCCCTTCCTATTTTTCTGGTTACTGTCACCAAGAGGCCAACATCCTGCCACAACCTTCGGTGGCCACACAAAATCCCCTCGCGCCAAGCATAGATAGAGCCTCTCAAGCCACTTGGCAACTAGCAGGGCCTCACCAGTCACCAAAAAACACCAAGCCTAATCGTTTCGCCTTACGGCTTAGCTAGCAAGCCAGTACAAGACCCCTGGGTACAAATAATAATTGCAATCTTTATTGTTATTTAAGTATTTCTCAAAAAGATGGTAAAGAATCACCTCTTCCTGGCACCCCGGCTAGAAGTGATACACCTTCAAGCAGAGGAGATGTGGCTCCGACCTAAGGAGGCGACAAATCCCCTACCCTGCCACAGCAAGGAAAGCAGAGTTATTCAAACTCCTCCATACATCAACGGACAACACGGAGGCAGGGGAAGGCCCAGCAACACCAACTCAGGTGACACCCAGGCCATGCTAGCCTCACTCATAAACTCATGAGCCAAAAAAATTACGACAGACTGGCAATCTCGAGTCGATCACAGCCCTCACAAGGCTGGGCCTCACGCTACTGTACAACCAGCACCAACTGAAACTCGGTTACCTGGTACAATCAATTCTTGATACAAGACGTTAACACTGCACATATGATCCCAGCACATTGGGGAAGCAAGGCATTTATATGTATGATGATGTATCTGTGATGGTCAGATCCAGGGATTCCAGGTAAATCGGGAACTGACCATCCCTTGGTTGGGTTGGCATTTGGAATATGTAGAGATGTTTATTTGTGCAGGTACCCATACAGAAGGGATTTTGTCCCAAACAAATGGACGAGCACTCTCAGGCTCCAGGTACCAGCACCTCTGAACTACCAGAGACAATTGGTATTAGTAGTTGCACTGCATATAGACTGTTGCATATATGTTCAAATCATTCAGGGCACATGACAAACCATGTGTCCTAATACAACTTACAAATAACGTACTCACCATCTGTACACACCAATACATTTTCAACACCACTGACTCATCACCCTTCCAGACTTGTAGTAGATTTACTAAGGCTCTGGAGCTTCAAAGGGCTCCCACACAGATATCATAAATAAACCCTCAAGGAATATAGCATGCCCTCACTTACAGTCAGCACAACAGAACCGTCGGCTGTAAACACACTCATAGCCAAGATTTGCAGAGGGGTTTTTACTTGGGTTTTCCAATCTCCACCATTTACAGCATGGCACCAAACACAAACACATTGGTATTGTCACAAGGGAATCTTCCCTTAAACAAAGACTAACCATAGACTTATTGGCACCACACACCTTCGCTACCCCAAGTCTCAACTCCCTCATACCCTCCGAGGAGTTTCCTTAATATACACACCATTGATCTACCTTTACAGCTATCACTCAAGCATGGGTTGAAGTTTCGTTAAGTAAGACCAATATCATCAACACAGTAAACGGCTACCATCTACCCTACAAACTGGCACTTACGTGGCATAAAATGGTCAATCCTTTCCCCACTTAAAGCAGCTGCTGTGGCATGGGGTAAATCATGGTCAGGGTCATCAATCAGTTGTTACTCAGACAACTAAGCACATGTCATATCATCAACAAATGCCACTCATCATCCATACGTTCATGGTATTGCTGGGGAAATCACTTGGTTGGCCACTTACCACATTTCTTTTACTTTCATGTACCTGGCGGGAGTATACATCCCTGCCGACAATTGTCTCATTTATATTCCAGGCATGTTCATCATACGCTTCCTACAGCCGCCCATAGAGTCACGGCCACTCTTTCGTTCCAGAGACAAAATCATGGATTAGACATACTCATGCAGCATAGCATGCACTATCCCACCTAGCACTTTCATCCCATACTTGTAGAACGCATAACACAGCTATTCACCTGGCTTTAAAGAATCTCATTGGAACACGACATAGCTCAACCTGTGTCATAACATTTCTCCTAGGTTTTGCTTAATTTTTGCCACCTTAAACTTAAACCATCTCACACACCATTAATTATATATTTTACAGGCATTCAACAACACAGGATAACCTATGGCCAAAACTACCATAACTTCATGCTATCATACAAGACAAGAATATACTCAGAGGTTTTCAGGAATCCATTCCCCCACGTCCCTCTCAGAGATTACCAATAGCCATCCAACTTTTCCATCCTTATCGGACCTATTAGAGCTACAACCATTCAATTATACTACCAAGTCGGCCATTACCAGCCATGCACACTGCCTTTTATGCCTTTCTCAGGCCAGAGAATCCACTACCATAACCACCACTCAGACAGATCATTGTCTTCAACGATCCCACGTATGTAAACACATATATCATTACCTATTGGCTCTACCACATTCCGAAACGAGGCAACACGCACCAACAGTAGAGATAACATACTATCCTACCCACAACAAATGGTGTCCAGTTGCGGTCCTAGATTCCTACCTTCAAAATCCTTCAAGGAATTAAATACCGTAATGCATTTAAGGAAATGCCTGGTTAATTTGTATATATTGTTGACTGTATTAAATCTTTGATTATTCTTTTTGCCCTCTTTATTTACAGGCCTACCGTATCGTCGGTCTCTGCACACCACAACCGACTTGCTCACTTTATACTATCCTACGCTTATGCTGGAACCTTACTCTATATATATATATATATATATATTTTATTCTTTATTTTTGGTGCAAAAGATTTTACATGCAGGCCCGTGTGGCCACGACAGCAGACACAGGCAGGTTCATGCAGACATGTTCGTGGTTTTTTACATTTGCACATTTTTTGTTAAAAATGAATATAACAGGCTAGTAAACATTGCTTATATGAAACAACATGTTAAAGTATTTAGGCATATTAATAGTAAAACGTAAGATTGATAATCCGCTTTGTCTATTTGGTATGATTCTAGTAGGCTAATACAAGTCGAGTGTTCATTAAAGGTTAAACAGGCTTATTGGTTAACTGTAAAATTACAAGCTTTGTAACATTAGTAGACGAAATAAACATTCTACGCTAGACATGCATGTGATAAAGTTAATTATTAATGCACAGCTTCAGTTAAATTACGATGAGTATGCTTGGATAACATTAGTAGCTCAGGCTCTCGCTCAGTACTTGTCAACATGGCATTGGTAGCTTATGGCACAACAGGTTAAGCGCTCTGATTAAAATAACAGGATTCTCACACAGATTCATAACGTTAAACATATTCACACAGGCTAAACTCAGCTATATATATTTTTTTTAAATATGGTCATTATGTAAAAAAACAAAACAAAAAAAAAGTTCTAAAAGTGAGAAACTTTTGTGAGAGCACAATAAATACCTTTACATTTATTATTTATTTACCTTTACACGAATTATAATACAGGAATGAAGAATATAAGACACAGCTACGTTGTTAGGAAAAACAGTGTAGTAATTGTGAACAGTCACTAGAGGGCAGCATATGGCAAGTTTTACCTCCCTTTAACAATTAAATATAGGGATCCTTGTAGGAAACGTTCTGTCAATCACAATGACAGATCCTAGATCTACATT